GTTAGTCCAACGTTCTAACCAGTGAGTCAGAGGTTTCGTTGTCTTGTCGACATATACCAAAGCAGTTCTGTGAACGCTTTATGCCTTTCAGTGCATGCTGAATTTTTTGAGGAGACTCAGCTGATTGATTCTGGAACACTTGCGCGGACGGAACTCTGTTTACGCGTTTAATAATAGGATGTTCCCCCATCAGGGCGTGACATTTTCTGAACATCTTGTCAAGGTCTCCGTTAACTCTATTCATTCATACAATGTGCTGACTGGAAACAGATGCACCTGAAGCATGGTAAACTACGCTTTTGAAATATATATGCCACCGGAATGCAAAAATGTTGTTTACGCAGGCGCATACTTCTCGGTAATGAGCGGGTGCCGTTAAAGAGCGCAAAACAGAGAAAGTAGCAACTGCAGTTACTGGACCGCAGAGCCCCAGACGACATCGGATCTTGTCGGTGGAGCTTACATACAGACTACTGATTTATAACTTATTATGTCGGCTACCGTATTCGGTTAGTAAAGGGCATTTTAAGTTCTCCAATGAAATAAGGAAAGAGGAAAAATGTTTGGCTGGTGATGTTAAAGACATTTGTTTTTCAATCGAGAGATATTCTGAAAACATCGCGTCTACACCCAGTGATCTTTAAAAAGAGAAAAAGTCTCAAGTCATCATCATCATCATCATCACCATCATTACTCGATTCTTTACGAAATCCAAATCAAAAAGCTCGTCGGCAGTTCGCTCTGATATTCTTTCTAAAACGCCAATCCGGCAAATGGCATTTTAACAAGCAACTGAAAGCACAACTAACGGGATAAAAATGACCAGTCTTTCGATTGACCAAGAACACATTCATCCTAGAACGTTATTCTGGAGCGTCATATGCTCGTTCCCTGACAAACACGTTCAGTGAATATTTTATTTTGAAGGTTTTGAGAGGCACAAGCAACTGATTCGAGGAAACCGATGGGCTCACCGGGCATAAACGACAGAAAGTTTGCTTTTGAGCAGCCTAATAAGAACGTTGAATGTCGCAATTTGTTCGCTGATATTTCAAGGACACTCTGCATCTCAGCGAACTAAGGCAGAGCCAAAGACTGCATAGAGGGTATATTGAAGAAAGCCGCCTTGATACACTTTAAATGGTGTGCGTACTATTAAATCTGTTAATTTTATCCGAAATTAATAATCGTTGGCCGGTCGCTCAAAAAAATTTCAATCGAAGAAACGCATAGAATTCTCGAAACGGGCTTTTCAAAAATGATTACACATTACGCGCTTAACCAAATGCCGTGACTAACGTGGCACTAAATCTCGAGGGATATGTACTGAAAAATGTATGTAAGGAATTTTTCTAAATTTAACTGCGTCTATGCGGTCTTAGTTACGTGGGTATTTTCATGGGCAGACTTTATGTGCACCTAAAAGCTGACTTAAGTCATTCGAAGCGAACATTCGCTAACTCGAAATTTTTGTTTTTTCTTGAGATCACTATTGCAAACCAGTACAGCAGCACTTCAATTATTTATTTTGATTTCGTTTGATCGAAGGCCATTCATTATTAATTTGGTGCTTTATCGGGCGCAACTGGACAGGCTTTCGATTGATTGGCGGCTTTTTCGGCAATTTAACCGTATTTTATTAGGTAGGTATTCTACTGTAGGATTATTGAAAGCCCTGTCAGAAAGGCTCATTTATTTTTGCCAGAAATGCCCCTAGTTCTGAAACACGGGTGATTCCACCATACGGTCCCTAGTACAGAAAAAGGAAGTTAGTCGTGGTAGAATTTTATGTAAGCTCTTTCGCGATCTTTGAACTTTCAAAGCCGATCATATACCTCAGGTAAGAAGACTCCGAGCACCTCTGCGCCACAGCGAATTACGGTTTGCTGGTCCCGAGATTTTATTGCAGGCTTCACTCGCAAATTGCATTCCCTTTCCGTTGTCGAAGGTGGAGCAAAATATTGTGCTTGAGATGTATATGTCTTGAAGAAGACGAAGGCGCGATCACTGGGACGGGAGATTTATCGGCCTTAGCTTTCGAACTCAAACTGGAGTTCATCATCAGAGAATGCTAGAGTGCAGCAACGTGTAAACATTTATATCGTATTGCCATGCTCAGGAGGGAGGGGACTACGTCTGTGGATAGGTCCGGTTTTTGCTGCCTGACCCCCAATGGTCCCCGGCGTGGTGACGGCGCTTGTACTTTGCAGTGATGTGAGCTGCGCCACCTGGCTGCGTGGGCGGAGGCAAATCAATGTGTCCACTGATAGAGTTGGTGGCCAACACCCACTCATCCAACAGTTCTCGCCCCGTCTTGTTGTTGGCTCGCGCCAATATCCGCGTGTTGGCGAAGTCGAACTCATGACCTTCCCCCAGCGTATGAGTGGCGACTTGAGATAGTGGGTCACCTCTCCGAACGGTCCGTTTGTGCTCAAGTATTCGTGAGTTGAGACGTCGTCCTGGTTGGCCTGTGTAGTGGCAAGGACAGTTATGGCACGGGATTTGATAGACTACGCCCGACTGCTCACCTGCCTCCAGCCGATCCTTCATCTTCATGATCCTGCTACGCATGGTAGCCGCCGGATGAGGAGCGATGCCCACGCCTAACTCTGACACAATGCGTTCTGTGGCCTCGGACACATTCTTTACGTACGGCAGGGAGTGCCAAATTGTTTGTCTATATTGAAAAATGGGCACCCATGTTGACAAACCTCTAATTGCTGACACTACGAAGTCACAGAGCCCAGACGCTGGAAAAATGTTGAAACGCCTTACAGAGAGCTTAACTTTAAAGGATATTTGTCAAATACTCGACGTGTGGTGTTCGAACGATTGCCAAAACATATGGACTTCCTTAATTTCATAGGTTCAGACTTCCACTGCGTTCAGCAGCTTGCTTGGCCGATGCATTAAAGTGCCTAATTTCCAAATGGCTATTTTGCCAGGCCTGACCATTTGCGAAGAACTCCGAAACAAATGTTCCGGATTCAATGCAGGTACTAGACCAGCTAAAAGAACTCAAAGTCGCCTCTGACCAGAGGACTGTGTTATTTAGCATGATTCCTATATTCACATCTAGTTGTTGGACCCCAAATTGGGACGATAAATCGCCAAAAAGACCGATTAGAAATAGTCCATATTCATGCTAACTTTGATTTTCCAGAAATTCGGGCTACTTTCCAAGTAGAAGTTGATAGAAAACCTCCAGTTCTGGACACCCTCGTACTTCCAAAACCTGATGCGGCGCCACAAACTTCTTTTTCATCGCAGAGGCATATAATCCGAGACAATCTTACATTGAGGAAGTAACCAGCCATCTCCCACTCGTAAAGTCTAGCCAAAGCTCATCTCTCTAACGGAAAACTACTCAATAGAAATTATATCCCCATTTTAGATTATTTTTCTAAAAGTGATAACCCCTTGACTCGGTCTGCTGATGCATGCGACGGTAACGGTCCAGCCGAAAAAGTATTCCCCGACCTACTGTTACCCAGACGCCAGGACGAATCATCTGTTGTGTGTAGGCGTAGCTCACAAGTCTTCAACTACATTGTGCGCTCAAGACAGGATTATTTCCGTAATCGTCCACCAAACCCCTCGTGTCGGATTCGTCCAGGACCAATGACAATGGTCGCTGTGCGTCTGCCTGCGAGGGCTCGGGACGGATCTCCATGGCGCAACTGTATGAGTCCGTACGCCAACCTGTGAGCCGTTGTTAGTATCCCTAATTGTAACCGACAGAACATCGAACTCGCATCCCAATTGTTAAAAGCGGTAGACTTAGAAACGCTCGATGCGCAGAGAACGCGGGTCCGGGGTTCAGGTGCGGCAGAAACGCGAGCTTCGATAACGCTGGCTGACGACGGCTAGCAAGCTCGAACCTAGCACCCCAGTCCCCTCCTCGTCTGCAGGAACTTCCCCCAGCATATATTCCTCGCCATTATGTGACTGCCTGCAACGGCGCCACACTGAGCTTCAAGACGCAACGGCCCCGTAACTCGATCGGTGAGCATCCCTCTACTTCGTGAATGCATGAACCAGCCGCCAACTAGTCATCACAAACGGTCGTCTATTGAATTTAATTCTCACTTCCTAGTCCGCAAACCAAATCGGGGTTCTATGCTGTCCTCCGAACTTCTCACACCTTTCCTCTGTATTGTGACACTGATGCAGGCGCAGTTCATCACGCACAACTGCCCAGGCGTTGGAAAAGTGTGCACTTCAATCCGGTCAGAATTCAGCCTGTGGAAGCACATTTTGCAGCCTTCTATCTCGTCCAGACCGCGATTCACGTAGGTTGCAAGTGCTCAGCGCATTGTGTTCGATTAGCTGGTCAAATATGAATGTTATTCGGACTGCGGTACATACCTGCGCTGTACTTTAGGCGGAAGCGTTCCATAAGCTCCCCCCCCCGGGCAACAAACCGCTCGAGCAGCGTGCAGTTTACCCCTAAAAAGGCTCGGTGTTAATCCCGGACTTTTGGTGAGAGCGATCTCTTCGGGGGGGGGGGGGGCAGTACGGCAAAGCATACGTGACTACTGCTTGTCTATCCTGCGACGGATCTCGTGTTGTAATTGCCGAAAGTGGGCCAGTACTTATTGGGCGCGTCCTATGTAGTGACAGCCTCGACAACGTCGCACGCTCCTAGCGGCTGAAACCGAGCGAAGGGGGATGTAGGAAACTAGACAGCTGGGTGGGATTTTTTCACGGCAATGAACCCAGTGGGCCTGAGGCCACCGGCCAGAAGGATTCACCGGCATCCGTAAAATACAAAACAGCGCCAAAACGAAATCTGCACCTTGGTGGTCTAGAAGAACTTGTTCTACTCAAGCTATCGCAGTTAATTTACCCAATGAAGGCAGGATTATGTGAGAAAGAAGAGGTGTGTCAGCAGTCAGTCTTCGGAGGAAACAAAAACAGCAATTTGCAATCGGAGTTCCGAAGGAAACACAACGTTGTCTTGTTCCGTTACCGGTAATCTATTTGCAGCTGCAGCCGGGTTAGCCGTGGGATTCGCCTTTTTTGCCAGCGACCTGAGGAGAAAAAGTAATTCGGCGTAAGGCAAAGAAGCAAGATTTGAAGACTTCTCCGAAAACCGATTACCAAACTGTTGGTGCGAGTGCGCTGACTTTGGTGGATCGGCTGTCACGGGCTCCCCGCATACAGGGACCCAGGGCGACAGATTAGTGAGACTGGCCGCAGCAATGTCGATCGTAAATAGATCGAGTGCATGTTGTGGTGTGTTTCGCTTTCTCTTATTAACTGGGACTTCACCTGATGACTGTAGGGCTCAATGTACAACCGCTGCCGGATCGGTGAAAGTTCCAATCACTAAAATCTCGATGTTGAGCGACAATTGCAAATTTCGACAAATGACCTTATTTGGCGATCAAATGTACCTCCAGACAGTTTTGTATTAAGGACCTAATGGAAAAATAATGAAAGCCCTGCATATAATAAATTCCTTATTCTGATATTTTAGATCCCATTCTACTGATCGAGACCTAGCCTAATGGTCGTGGTGCTCAAAGTATACCTGGCTTCTTCACCCCCTTTAAATTGGTGACCCCGACACGGTCGAGACGCGACCGCCAGACATGAATGGGTTTAATTGTTACAAAATTTCCACTCGACTTAATCTCGCCGGTTTTCCCCTGACACGCATTTTGTGCATGAATTGTAAGGCGTAACTTCGACATGAATGTCAATAGCAAAGCTCACTCATACCAGGTCAGGTAGATAATCCAAACCAAACGTGAAAAACAATCACATCGAGATCTTCTTCTTTTGAGACCCTCTTCCGCTCAATACCGACAGAACTCTCGTTCCGGTTGGAAAAGCCCTTGTCTCATACCAATGTGGTAGCTCACCAGGGCATGTTTACGCCGGCCTACGGCTCTCAACTGCTGCTCCAACCGTACAGGTCGCATCACCACGGTCTCCGTGTGAGTAGAGCATGAGCGCTTGCAGCTCCAAGGACAAACCACCGCAGAAGATTACAAACTCCCCCAAAACATCGGGATGACATCGGCTGGTATGTCAGGGGGGAGGAGTCCACGTTCACGTTCATTTTTACAGAGAGGAGTTTGCGCAGGTCTACAGCCGGCCGCGTCTCGACAACTCAGTCACTAGGCTTCTGCTCTGAATAAACGCCTCCCGAGCTGCTGTTTTCCAAACGTGTTCTCCTACAGGGGGGACGGGATCCCGGAACTGTGGTGGCCAGAGCATGGTCAGTAATATTAATTGCAATTCTCCCTCGAAGCCACCTAAATGTCAACAGCGCAGTACAGGTGCATCGCAAGCCCGGGGGAGCAGTGTTTCGGTCCTTTTAATTAGTGCAGGCCCTTCCCAACTTCGAGGTAAAGCATCTGGCCTATATCACCAACTGAAAACCCGAACTTCTGATGTGTATTCGATTAGAAAGGATTACTTAGGTGGGCTTATGGCACTGATTATTGTGTAGTAAGATCCCAAGAAATATCAGTCACGTCAGGATGCTGGCTTTTGAATGTTTCTTGCCCAACGCCCGCAAAAACCACGCTTGGTAGAAAAGGGCTGCCTAATTGGTATGCATTTTTTATTTGACTTCCGATGCCCTTTATAAATTCTAGTATATTTTATAGAAAACAAGCATTAAAATATCCTTTCTTGCATTCATCTGGTGGCAACTGGTGTCCTTTGTAGACTTCATACTTTTAAAAAGTTTTAAATTATGAAATTTTTTGACACGGAAGTGTTTTTTCCACAAAGCAGCGTATCTGTTTGCTTATAAATACCGTTTATAAAGTTTACAACACGGTCCACATCCAATGAAAGATTTTGTGAGACCTATATGACGTTCTCCTAAAAGCGTAGAGGTGTATGACTTCCCTCAGACCGAAAGTATGCAGCAGATATTTTGGAAGCCTTGAATGCGAGCCAAACAGCTGGTCGGGTTTAAAGTTGATCGAGAATCGAAGTCTTCTAAGGCTGAAGGATACCCCCTTCAAAGCATACTACGTAACTTATCACTAATTGAGCATAAGAGGGAGTATTTTGTGCGCATTGTCTATAAAATATACTTGAATTTGTGAGCGTACGGAAATCGGTGGCAAAAATTCATGCCATTAACGTAATCACTTGTCACCGAATATGGTCTTCGCAGGTGGCCGGAAATAAGTTCATTCAGAAGCCGGCATATTAACGTGACTGAAATAGTCTGAATTTATGCTGCACGGCGGTTGACATTGCAACTCCGCTTGATTGATTCTCTCACATTGAAAACGCATTTCAGAATTACGGCCGAACGTTTCATGAAATCGGTTTGCAAGTTTTAAGAACATCTATAAAACGTCTTACGTCTACTGGGGCGGCTGTTACGTGCAAGAACAAAATGCACGTACCCTCTTGAAATCACTCATGTTTGTTGTGTTCACCGGATTGCCGTACAGGGACAAATTAGTGATCTTTGTGTGTTCAGCTCCGGTTTGGTTGTCTTTCACAAAAAGCTGCAAAATGAGGGAAAAAGAGGAATTCAAAAAGAAATCAGGCTGCGTAAACAGCACACTGCTAGGATAGTCGCTGGTCATGTCATAGACGGCGCTGAAGATGTTCACTGTCTGGGCAATCAAATAGCCTACTGGTCAGCAACTTTCCCAGCTCCAACTTCGAAGATGCCGTGAAGGGTGGATCATCTGAGCCTGGAGGGTAGGAGATTAAATGTAACGTATTGGCTGATTGGGCAGGCTTCTCAGAGTTGTGACTGCGGTAACGCATGTCCCAGATGGCCTGGTTAACATTAAAAGGCAGCCAAAAGTGTCTGATCGACAACATAAAGGTATCAAGCCATTGGCGGTGCTCCTGGGGTGGCCGCGGCCCGACTGAAAGTGAGTTGAAGGGCAGTAAAGTTGCGCACAGTCATAGGCTGATAAGTTTTTACTGACACTGTGGAGGAGAGCGCACTACAGCACGTAGGGCAAGCAACGCATCTATCGACTCCGACTTGGCGCGAACCCTGACCCCGGCCGATAACCTTCATTGTCAATAAAATTGCGGCTTCCCAACCTACCTGTTCGATTTAAGTAGCAGGACAAAATTAAGCGCCCCAACCAAGTGTCGCAACGAAGTGTGGCTCCGAGAGGCTTTTGATAAGTGATCTATTTTATATCGCCTCCAACGCACCAGTTTGTTGGCTTCACATGAATGTGTTGAGCACTATTTGTGGAAATATGTTTTGAGTTTCTTGTAATCCGTTCAATTTTCTAGTTTGAGTCGGCTTGGGCGGACGGATACTTGTAATTTTTAAGACAGATGTGCGCCCACCGATCAGGTTACGGAACATGCTCGTTCCGTTGTGCCTTGAGGCTTATGACTGGCTGATGACGGCTAATAAGTCAGAAATCGCCACTCCGGTCTCCCTTATCTTTTTCGATACTAGCTCACTTGTAATATTGCTTAGAGCGCTGTTCGACTGACTTGGTCAGCACGGCACGACCAGTGAAAGACTGGTGCCATGGTCACCTTACCTTACGCACGGGCTACTTTTGTTCTGTAAATTCATTTTGAGACAGTTATGGAAAATTATAACGTGATTAGACTGCGAGGGGGAGGGAGGGTCTGGGAGAAGCTATCGTGCGACATCAGGAAGTTTTAAAAAGTGCTACAAGTAATCTATGATTGATGGAGAGGTATCAGTTGGGTTTGTGGGCTACGGCATATGCATCACTTCAGGCGGACTTTGAATATTTAGCCCTCAAGAGGAGCAATACCAACGAAGACGTCTATATCTTGTATCAGCTCCGGCACGCGGGAACCACGGCGTTTTATTGTGTCTGTCCTGCGTAGTACGCGGCACACTCCCTGCACCATCTTTCTAGGTTGCCGCACCCAGAGCTGATTGAGAGAAATATAGACGCCGTACGGTCACCGCATGCTCACGGAATTCGATAAAAAGGATGCTAGCCGACGTATCTTCCTAGCTCAGCACCGACTGTCCAAGACCATTAGGGTATCATAACAAGCAGATGAGACGCAGTCGAAGTGAAAATATCAGTGGGCTCCGAGTAGTGGACTTACGGTAAGGCTATTCACATTCTGAAATTTGACATACTTGAGGGGAACCAGAGCGTGCGACTTTAGATTTTCAGGAGTCAGACTGAAAGAAAAAGAGGATTTAGCAGCCTGTACGATGTCAGAGGGGAAATAGGCTCGCCTATGAAGCGGAGAAGAAAAACATACGTTAGCTCCTGCACGCCCTCAGCGGTCTCGCACGTGTCAAAGTCCGGCGTGGCTGTCTGGTTCATGAAGATTTTAATCGTCTTCGGACCACAGTCTGGAAGGTAGAAACTGAAGTTTTACCTTGCCCAAAATAGCAAAAGGGGGAAATAAATAAACCACAGGACGCAGGCAAAAAAAAGATTCATTTTTTCGATGGAATTCGAAATCTAAATCGCCCTAACTGACTATAGTAGTCTCATTGTGTCTCCTTGGTATCGTCCATACCATGCACATCAATTTGGACTACCACCTAGTTGCCTGTGTAATAATCGGCAGTAAGTCGGGCATAGAGGGGTGGCTGTCGGGCAAGTCTTCTCACTGTTCCGTAAATGTTACCAGCAGTTGCTTTGAACTCCCCAACTCATTACGACTAAGAGCTCCTGCCCAGACGGGGTGGTCAGTGTCGACTTGTGAACTGATGTCGCCGACCACAATGTTTCATGGACTGTAATCGGACATGTTTCATGAGGTTTCTTGGGAATTTCGAATACGGGCGGGTCCCCAACAGCCGCTCGGATTGTTTGTTCGAGGTTGTCTCCTCTAGCGCTTTGGCTTAAAAACCTAACCACAAGGCAGCGGTGGCTAGTAAACTTATTTAATGGCGGTTTACGGTCGCCATGTCACAAGGCCGTCATTGGGTTTTGCGGCATTTTATAAGGCTTTCAGCGTGCCAGACTTCAGCCCACCGCACCCTGGTAGCAGTGTCGCTGCTGGTCCGCGACTGCTTATTCGTCAGACGTGGGTCTGCTTAGTTCGCAGCTAACCTTCACTGAAGGTCGTCCCACTATCCGCCACCTGTGGACGCGCCGGGTAGCCAGCAGCTAGGCTAACGGGCAACCCGTCTTCCCGGCCGAACACAATTACCTTACCTATCTTTTATTTGGGGATGCGGACCCTTATAGAACTTGTTCTGCAAATTGTTAAAGTTCCCTAACAGTTGGAATCTAAGCCGCATCATCCTTCTTCGTGTGAAAACGTGGCCCGTGTTTGGCACGCGCAGAGGAGCCATTCAGCTTTGTCAGTCACCTGTGCCAGATCCCGCTTCCGATCAGTATAAACTAATTCACGCGCAAGTCACCGTCCATGCGCTTACCGTCTGGTAAGGCATACGGTGGAGATTGTCAGTAGCGACTGTCCAATGTTAGCCGTCTACTGGTAGTTTAGTCGTACCCCCCTTCCCCATTCCTCGGCTGGGCTCGAAGCGGACTGTGGCCGATCGCGTCTGGGTTCCTCTGGTCTGGTCTCTTTGACGCGAATAGTCTCATCCGGCGTGTCAATTCTGCCCTGACGATGTCCGTTCTGAATCCCGTATACAATACCACATGCAGGCCAGTCCTGTCCGACCGGGCATACGTAACCCTCAAGGCTGATATTTACTTCTGCCCTGACGATGTCCGATTATAATCCTTATATACCGCCACATGCAGGCCAGTCCTGCCTGTCTTTTTGTTATTATGTGCGAGGGTTTTTTTCCTCCTGTAAAATCAACCCAATCATGTTTAAGTTTTTAAGTGGAGGTCTTTTTTCACCGCTCGCTCATCATTTTTCTTAACGCCCTATAAGTTCAGAAACTATGAATTGCACTTTGTACAGATTCTGCCTGCCTTGTCCAAAATTCATACGAACATTTATTTTTACTTGCTTTGATGGGACCCCGAGGGGTCTTTAATAAAAATTATTTATTTAACTGTCACCTCGGACAGTCAAGATACTCCGTCACAGAATCGATCGCTATTCAATCCACAGATCCAGATTTGTCTGTCAATCATTCTTAAATGAAACGCTGCGTCATCACTCCATATGACCGTGTTGCATCAGGGAAAACGCCGCAAGCGAGCACGTCTTTGCTTTCGGTGCACCAGCACTTGTTCCAAATCTACCCTACAGCCAAAGCGACTTCTCGGGACAGATCTTCACGCTGAGAGTCAATCAGAACGTAAATTCCACAACAGGCTCCTATGAACAGGCAACGCTGCCATCACCCGTTCTTTCGTATTTTCCCAGCCGTGGTGACGCAGTAGTTCAGAGTTTACCTAAACCTCCTATCAAATGCTGCCTCCAACAGCCAGCGCACTTTTCTGCTCTGTCAGAAAAGACGGTAATTTTTGAAAAATTATTTGTGATTAATATCCTAGATTGCCCGAGTTCTGTAGTAGGTCCGGCAAACCTACCCGTCCTTACTATTAGGCGCAGATGCGACAGTTCGACCGCTGTGTCTGGCTATGTCCACCGTAGCATGGCATGTGCAGAGATGGTGACCTGCGAGTGAATTTATCTGTAGTGAGAGCAGACTTGCGCAGCATCTATCGCACTCTCTTCCCCCTCACCCTCCTGGGCCGACTTCAACATAGATGAAAGAAGACTGGATGTTGGATCGGACCCAGGCGCGGCGTGGGTCCGCATCCAGGCGTGCCAGCAGCACACCCCCTTATGTGTGGTATACGTTATGGATGCACAGCCCAATAACGTGTGTCGTGCCCTGATCTGGCACCTCGTGTTGGCAGTAGAAGCGAAGAGACGAGTCCCAGGAAGTAGTCTTGAAGAAGGAGACACGATCGCCGGGACAAGAGCTCCGACGGGTCTTCAAAGCCAATGGCTACCCGCGCAACTTCGTCAACCGGTGCATACGCAAAAGGGACGAAAGGCCTAACCGCACGGACACCAAATCTTGGCGGGCACTTCCGTATGTTAAGAACGTTTCGGAAGCTGTCGGCCGCCTTCTCGCACCACTTGGGGTTGGAGTGGCACACAGACCGGAGGTAACCAGCAGGCGTCTGGTCATGAAACCGAAAGACCCACTGCCACGGCTAGAAACGTCTGGGGTCGTTTATCGGATCTGATGCAGTTGCGGACAAAGCAACTACGTCGGAGAAACCGGAAGACCGCTCCAAATGAGAATGGCCGAACACGCGGCAGCGGTGCGCAGAAATGACGCCAGCTCTCAAGTTGCGGCTCATTCGACGAGATCCGGCCACACATTCAAATTCCTTGAGGCCGAAATCCTCGCAAGAGGCGACAACCGCGTGAGCCGGGAGCTACTGGAGTCATGGTTTACTGGCCCCCAGTCCATCCTATAAATACCGCAGCCCCTTGTGCAGCAACCACCCGTTTCTGCTTTTTTGTCTCTGATGATGGATTTGAGTAGGAATCCGAAACGTCAGGCTAATAAAGCTCTTGTCCCGGCAACCGTGTCTCCTTCTTCAAGACCTCGTGTTGGTCCAGCCCCACCGCCGCGCGGCAAATGTACAGTAAGTGACCGATCACATGAAATGTTGGTCGAAATTCTGAAATGCGTCTTCGATTAGGAAGGATTACTTGGGTGTGGTTGAAACACTGATTATCGTTTGGCATAATCCTATAATTTTTCGGACTCGGCAGGATGTCAACTTTTGAATACATCGTTTATCAATCTCCTGTAGAAACCGTACTCGGCAAAAATGACTACTTATGTAGCATGCATTTTTCCCATTGATTTTCGATGGTCTTGCAAATTTAAATATATCTTATAGAAACAATAAGCAAAAATACGCTCTCTTACGGTCAATTAATAGAGAATCACGTCTTCTCTATATTTTATACCTAAGGAAGGAGTATAATTAGGTTTTCGAAAAGTTTCTAAATATAAGATTTTTTAAGACCTCTCAATGTCCATTCACATGGCATCGTACTTCGTCGTTTACCAAAGCTCCTCATGAAATGTACAACATGGTCCGCATCCACTGCAAAATTTTATGGACCCTGTATCTATTTAATGGCATAGAAAAATATGTGACTTTCCTTACGCGAAACGCACGTAACTTGCAGACTGAAATCACTAAGCGCTAATGCAACGAATGATCAGGCTCCAAATTATTCGGTAATTAGAAAACTTTTTGAAAACCTAATTATACTCCATCCTTGAGTATAAAATATAGAGAAGACGTGATTCTCTATTAATTGATCGTAAGAAAGCGTATTTTTGCTTATTGTTTCTATAAGATATATTTAAATTTGCAAGACCATCGAAAATCAATGGGAAAAATGCAAGCTACATAAGTAGTCATTCTTGCCGAGTACGGTTTCTACAGAAGATTGAAAAGCAATGTATTCAAAAGCTGACATCCTGCCGAGTCCGAAAAATTATAGGATTATGCCAAACGATAATCAGTGTTTCAACCACACCCAAGTAATCCTTCCTAATCGAAGACGCATTTCAGAATTTCAGCCAACATTTCATGTGATCGGCCACTCACTGTACTTTACTGACAAACGACTGGTTAAGTGCGTGCGTTTAAAATACTGCCAAGCTGGCAGCATAAATTTCAATTCGAACAAGGATAAATCAACCTGTCTGACAACAAACGATGTAATAAAGACCCTGAAAAGTATGTTTTCAGTAGCGCAGCCACGTAACGTACCGTCGGGTGCAGTGATACGCATGGAGTGGAGCTTGATTACTTGAGTGAAGGTGAGGAAAATAATAAGCTGCAAACGAAATAAAAACTGTAAGTAGTTGCTACTGAAAATAACAAGTAAGTATAGTTAAGATGCTCCAAAACTTGCCTGCTCGTCAGTATCTGACATGAGGAAGCGCATGTCCTTGCTGAGTGCATGTTCCAGAGGATGCTCACTGTCGCAATTAAGGCATTCACAGTTGGCAGGTTGAAGCAACGGCCCGAGATCCATCTAAAGAGGGAAAGGGTCAGTCGATTGAAAAGAGATTGGGAAGATATGTTGGGCCTAGAGAAACTGTGTGCAGGAAACAGCGTATTTGCGCTGAAAGATTAGTTTCTGATCGAATTTTCCGACAGCGCCTTGCACAGAGAAGTCACAAGAGACGGAAAAATCAACAATCGCGCAAAGTAGACTTCATCAAGCATACCGCTGTATTTAAAACGATGATACTTTACAATATGAGTGGTCGGTGGTCGGTGGTCGGTGGTGGTGGTGGTGGTGGTGGTGGTGGTGGTGGTGGTGGTGGTGTTGATGCTGGTGCCGATGCATGCATTAGTCTCTGAGAGCACATGTACTTACGTATCCTGGCGTGGGTGCTGCTGATGCAATACTATTTTTGCCACTGCCAGAGGCGTGAGCGAACGCCGAAGCACCACTTGTAGATGCGTCGGAGTCACCGGTTAGCCCCTTGCCAGCATGCAGCTCCAGCTTATTTTGCAGCTCGGTAGCGTTGGAGGTCCGTACAGTGTCCACTGTTTTTCCGTCTTTGATGAAGATAAAGGTTGGAATAGCGGTTATCTGATAATGGGCGGCTGTCTCCTGTACGCAGAAGGAAATACATGCACACATATATACTCCAAGGTTTAGCAGAACCCTGCTATATACGGCGAAATTTGGTTCTCGGTGAAAAACGCGTGTACGAAAACTCCATTAATAACCTTCTGGTTGGCAGACTTACACAGCCATCTTCCTAACTGAAATGGTAGGTGTCTTTTCCACTAGATGTGAGGCCTTAAGCCCCGAAAGCGAAATTTATGACGATAAACTGAAGACTGCGGAGAGGTGGAGTCCTTAGAGATTGTGGTGCACGATGAGAGTCTAGTTTCAAACGTTCACGACAGTCGGCAACTTGACAGAATTATTCGCTAAGTTAATGGTAGACCCCCTGCGCCAAATGACCGTGTTCATGATGCGGACCGCAGCGGAGTTTTATCCCTGTCGAGCCTATGCAGTGTACTCGCACTCGGTACGACCACGATCACTCCTGATCTTGCCAACTTCCACTACGTCGTGAACGCTTTTAAGGTGCTTCCAACAGCCACTCGGGTCGTTTGTTCGAGGCTGTCTTCTCTGGCGCTTTGGATCAATAAACTAACCACAAAGTTGAGATAGCAAGCAAGCTGGTTTAATGCTGATGCGCAGTCGCCATGTCAGTGTCGTCGACAAGCTTTTCGGCATCTTATAAAGTAATCGGCATGTCAGATCTCAGCCTCCCGCGTCATGGTGACGCTGTCGCTGCTGGTCTGTAACTGCCTATTCATCAGATCCCGGAGCAGAGACAGCATCCCTACCTTCAACTAGCCCATGTTCACGTTTCCGCTGGAGCGGAAAAGACAGGAGAAAATCGGTCTAAAAATCAACCAGGTGCACGCGTCTATGTTCGATTTTGTCGAGGCGTTTGGACTCGACGTGAGATCTGTCAGAAGATGAAGCTGTGGTTATACGAGGCTTGTACCAATGTGCAACATGGAGCCTGAGCTGGGGGGAGAGGAGATAGACACCGCCTGGAAATACTTGGTGGGTGGCGCTTAAACCTCATTTTCCGAACTTTTCTGTGTGGTCACGCCTTAAACGAAAGATTACGGTCGATCAAAAACGCAACCCATCAACTGTATCTTTTTAACTTGCCGACCGTGATGGTTCAGTCACGTTCTGAGTCGTGCTGAAGGTAAAATCGTCCGAGATGCTATTTAACCTGGACAGGACTCAGGCTAGCGATGACCAATCGGAAGTGGCAAAAGCCGACCACGAGCGCACCTCAGGGCTCTTGGTCTTCACGGCTGGAGTGCTTGCTGACTGTACTTTGCATAGGAGAATGTCACTAACCGACTGAAACGGAAAGCGGTCTTGCGTGGTCTGGCAGCCCACAACTTAGATCCGGCCAGTTTTGGACAAAATTTACATGAATACGTGCACGAATAACTCCGATCCATAAGACACAGACTGACAAGAACAATGCAAGCAACGGCCACGGAATACTTTGGCATATCGAAAGATAAAACTACAGTAATATCTTGTGGGAGACTAAATTCCAAATTATAAAAAAATTGCGTTACTAGCCCTAAAATCCTGACCATTAACATCATTCTCTAATTGAACATGTACCGGTAGTGGGTGGCAACGACGCTGCTTTAGTCGACTGCAGGGTCCACAGTGTCACGAAAAAGCATAGTTCAAACGTTGTGATATCAAACCAACAGTCGCTGGACGATGGTCATTCCACTCCCGAAAACAGAGTATCGCCGACTTGCCCTTCAGCAACTGCCAAAGATTTTAACACTGCTTCTTTTGTCGCTGGGAGCGGAAACTCGCTCTAATTTCGGTATTGTGTCCGGTCGGTTCTCTGTGATCGTGTTGTCCACGATACAGTTTCCTGGAGTTAGAGTACCTGACTATTCGGGCGCGCCGCGCACTATTTGCTAACTGGATAATGATGAATGGTATGCGGTTTTTGAATTTGCACTTAATGTTGCTTAGGTGCGCGCGCGTTCTTGGAACAACACGTCTTTCATCTGCGCCAGTAAACCAAGTGCCATGTGCGGTCTGAACTCCGATCGCCACCGTTTCTGTTCCATACACTGGGCGACATTTAAAAGTCGCACTCACGCAACGCTTGCGCCGTTAATATGAGCGGCCACAGTCACCTACGTACTTTTCTAACTGTCGGTGTACGAATGGAACAGGTACAACTTTTGGCTTGTCTACTGCCACAGTGGTTTGTAAGTCGGAGCTACCTTGTGGTGAAACAATACTCAGTTGTTTAATCTGGAATCTGCGAAATGAACACCTAAGTAAACATTGATCCGCCAGACATTTTTATAGTCTGACCGCGGTCATACCGCACTCAGGAGGATTGACGCCTCTTAGTAAATAATGACCAAAGAAAGACTTTTTAGGCGAACAGTGGGACTGGGCGATGCAAACCGCAGCGTTGTCTGCATCATTTGACATTACTGGAGCCTGGACACCATGTTGTAGGCAAATAAGATTGGAAACCGTCCGGTTGGCTATCACAATGGCTAGGTCGACCGCCTCTCATGCTGTTAGGAATGCATGGCACTCAACAAGAAGTTTACATGTGCGCCTAAGCGGTAATGCAGCGTGGGAGTTCGGATACATGCCAGCGAGGATAAGTGTCTGAGAATCAGCATATGCTAACATGCGCCTATTGTCATTTTTACGATGTGTACTTTGTGTTCGGCAACAACAGCAGCCCTAGTTAATTGTTACAGATTTTATCAAACACCCTAAACACGCTGCGTGAACTGATTCACTATGCGCACATCATGCTAAGTGGCGACAAAGGGGCGCGCAAAGAGTAGTGTACCACTTCGCATCAAGGAAGACCTTTTGGCGGGTGACGGATATAGTGGGATGAGATGGGGTCAGTACGACCGCGGCCCAGCCTGAAATTTTCCCTCTTCGAGTTTCGTGTGTTGGAAGTCTTAGGCAATGCGTTTTTCATCTCTAACAAGTGCAGGCGTTTAAATTGAAGCAGATGTCGGGTTTTGCCTCTTTTATATGGTGTTTAGACTCTCTATGGCCATACAGTTAAAAGTAACGACGATGTGAATGAGAAGTTCAACGAAATCTGCACAATTCCTTCGCGTCTTTACAGGCAGACAAGTTCATTGTCCGAGTTAATTGGCCAAGAGGGCGCAAGCCACGCTCTCCGCAACTACAAAATAGGTGGCAGAAAATGGTCTTTGACACCGTGAACCGGAGCGCAGTCAGGAACGTAGTGAGAAAATTTGGGTCCTTGGTGGCTAATGATGATGTGCAGGCGGTTTAGTGGCCGTACGATGGGACCAGTCATTCGCAATCGATCAGCGTCGGAGGCCTTTGCAGTTAAATGCTGAGTGATGCAGGGCTGCGTCTTCATCTCAACCCACCCCAGCCCTAATGCTGATGGTCACTCACCGAGGACAACCAGGTATCGAAATAAACAGTCAGACTGGTAGGAAGTTATTCAACATCTGCCGTGTACGAGACACCACCAAAACGTTTGGGCAGGGGTGCATGGCCCATGCTTTCCTCTGAACTTTACACGTGAACCGAATATGCAGAAATGTCTAAGCCTTTTCATTTCGGCAGACATGGACAAGTTGCCAGATCCGAGCAAAACCACTTTTACCTAAGCCGGCCTCGAAAGATATGAAAAACGGCAGTATACGCTAATTTTACTGTGGAATTTTTCTCCATCTGCTCTCCAGATGTTTATGGGTCCGTCTCAATGCCTCGAACAAGAGCGCCATTTGTCTGTCTGAATTTCTCGAGTACACTGGACAATATTCCGCAGAAAACGTCACTCCGACAACTTGTTTGAGGACCGAGGTTGGCAAATGTGCCCGAATCACGCGTCTACTTCAGAGACCGAACCCAGTCAACTATCGACCGAGCGTGTGCAAAGCCACGAAAAACTGATAAAATCTGTGCAATGTGGGGGGGGGGGGGGGCAGTTGGCCAACGCTCGTGGCTCGCAGGTCTTCTGTAATTAGTGAAGTCTACATGCTGATAAGCCACTTCAGATGTGGAGCTGGTTCATACTTAGTTGCCACTCCGAGCCAGAGATGTCGTTGACACCGAGGCCAGGAGCACGGACGAGGACGACTAAATCAATCCGCTTCTGTGGGGAGTATTATTTGGCAATATGATTGGGCGTCCTCTCATATTTTACAGTTAAGACACGTGACGGACACGACCGTATGTGGTCACATGCATATGACCGTCTCGTCGAAGCTGATGACAATAAACCCAGACGTTCGTGTTAAAGGTTAGGGCCACACACAAAAGAAAGGGCAAAAGTAACAATATAATTTAGCCACATAAGAACAAAAATAACCATTACCTCACATTTGTCGACATCTACTTTCACAAACTTTACTGAGGTATACTTCCTACTAAGATCTGCAAATGCGGGAGCAATTATTTTGCATGGGCCACACCATGTAGCGTAAAAGTCAACGACGATAAGGCTCCCAGAGTCGGATGATTTTACGATTTCCCTGAAGCTCTGGTCATTTTCAATATGCTTGATGGTGCTCATGGTGTTAGGCAACTTGGTGGATGTCAACCGCTAGGAGGCCTGTTGAAATACAGCCAAAACACGAACAATCCTCCAGTTTAAATAAGTGCTCCAAGTTCATAGCTCCAGCTAAAGTTCATGACTTGTTTAGAAATCCGCGGTCACCTGTATTTGCTGCTGTATTGCGCTAGAGTCGGCACGGAAACAGCGTCGTGTTAAAAAGCGGAGCATTCAATAAACACTTAGACGTGGAGCGCGGGGGACGTATGCAGCAGAGGAATGGCCAGCATCAGGGAAATCGCATAGCAACACGATCACTCAGACTAACGGATAAAAGAACATCCGGAAAGAAGTGTGGCAAATTATACGACAAGAACTGGGACAAAGACAATATATTTTTAACAGAAAGCGAACGAACAGCAACCTGTTTACATAAAACAGCAAGTATCAGATCGACTAACTCATTTGAATCACTTTCGCACGATTTGCACTGAATAGCAAGAAATGGGTAAATGTTTGCATAACGGGGTTGGTCAGGCAAAAATGGCGTTCTTGTTTACTAGTACGTCATTCCCCATTTCGTAACTCTAAAAACTCGATCCGCTGGTTTCAGAAACAAACCTCGATACCGTTGCCATAATTGAAACGAGACCTCCAGCCAAAATTTCCGATTCCATGATATAAGTTACTTTATTAAGGGAATAAGGCTTCCGCCCATGAGCTCCCTATTCCTGTCAATAGGCTGAAATAGAATTGATAATTACGTCAGCAAATGCGGAATATCAAAAGTTAGCGGTAATTGTGAGCCAGGAGCAGACTGCCTCCGCTAAAACAATCATGATTATATGTACAGTTATTTCTCCGTAACTGAGCATCTAATCTACACTTAAAGGAATCGGTAGTTTCGGAATGAACTACCGCATCATGGAGTCCGTTCCATGCCCAGTGACCCTGTGAGAGAAGCCGTTCCGTCGGACGTCCGAATGTGCCAGTTTCCTCTGCAGTTTAAAGGATGACCATGCAGACGGTCAGTCTCGACCAATTCGAATAATTCATCAAAATCTAGGACGCAATCACGGGCTCTAACAACTCCGTAGGTTTCAACGAGATCGCCGCGCAGTTGCCTATAAGTTAAAGGAAACAGATTTAGTTCGGTCAGCCTGGTTTCCTACGGCAGATGATTAACATTATTTACCATCTGCGTAGCCATCGCCTGTAATCTTTCCAGTCGTTGATAATCTTTCTTCAACCAGGGTCGTCAGGCCTGGACTGTATACTCTAAGTGAGACCGGACGAATCTCCCATAGGTTTATCCGAACAGCTCTGTATCGATCTGCATAAATCCTCTCCTCGACGCGAATAACACCCTTATCTCACTTTTGGCTGCCCTTTGACACTGTGGTGATGGTTTCAGTGAGGAGGTCATTAGGACGTTGAGGTCTTTCTGTTCCACAACATTTGAAGGGGACTTACCACCAAGAACTTATTGAAAGGAATTATCCTCCTTACTCATCTTCTTGGTGCGGAGTCTCAAGACCACACATTTGTCCACATTAGTATTTAGGAGCCAACGAACTAACGAACTGTTCATGCGGTTGAGACTGTCTTTAAGCGCGTACCTGTCTGCGTCAGATCTTATGGCTATCCAAAACATAACATCGTCAGCAGACATGATGGCACTGCACCTTAGGTCGTCGAAACAGTCTTTAATGTAAACCAGGAATAGCAACGGCCCTAAGACGGAGCCCTGGGGTATACCAATTAGAACGGGGGTAGGAGTTGACCTAGAGGCCTCAACGCACACGGTTTGTGATCCCCCTGTAAGAAAATCTGGTATCCATGTCAGCAACCTTCCTCTTATCCCAATTTCAGAAAGTTTGTAGATTAGGCGTTTGTGTGGGACGCTGTCGAATGGCTTCTTGAAGTCTGTGTAGATGGCATCGACCATGCCATCCTCGTCCAGAGCTCGAGTCAACTGCTCCGTCGAGAGCAATAAACTGGAAAGGCACGAACAGTTTTGTCAGAAGCCGTGCTGCAGGTCAGAGAATAAGTGACTCTGCTCCGGGATCCCACAGGACAACTTAATTGTTGCTTTCTTAACTATGACCTCCAGTATTTTACAGCATATGTAGGTGAGACTAACAGACCGATAATTGTTAGCATAAGTGCGAGCCTCGCCCCTGTATATCGGAAAGATTTTTGCTGTCTTCCATTCCGATGATAACCTCCCTTGTTCGACTGACGATGTGTGCCAGTGGTTTGGAGAGTTCTTTCGCTAATGCTTTCAAGAATTTGGCCGGTATATTGTCTGGACCCGAGGATTTTGGAGCTCCCTCTCCACGACAGCTGTCGGGAAGGTTATGGGGTCGAGCACGCGACCAGCGGTCTCAACAACACTGCTTGCACTGCGACTACGAAACTCTGTTTCCCTAGTAAAAACCGGGGCAAAATATTGTCCTAAGTGTTCAGCTTTCTCGCTGTTCTCAATGATTTCTACTCCATTATTATCCTTCATTACTGCGACCGGAACATTGTTTTTCGGTCTGCTGTTAAGCTAGTGAAATAAGATCTTGGTCTTCTGTACAGTCTGTCGGATAATTTGGGATTCATGCTCCTTCCGTGCCTGACGGATACATTTTTGACTGCATTTCGCTGACGGCAAAATTCTTCGAAATGCGCTGGTGACGCAGTTTTCCTGAATATTTTCCATTCTTTACTTTTCGTCCGTAACTGCCTATTTGGGCTCCTAGTTAACCAACAGAGCCACTGGTTATTTTTTGTAGCTTAGGTGGACAACGGCGCCGAATCAGATCGAGTGAAATTGTCTTAAAATATCTCCAGTCGTCCTCCTGATCTCCCTAAATTCACGGACATCAATCCGTTCTTTATCGCGTTAAAATCTGCCTTCCATCCATTATGGTGGTCTTCTGTTCTCTTCTGGCGTTGAGATAAGAGTGAGTCATACCATAGTAGCGCAGTATGGTCACTTTTTCCGAGAGGTGCATTGGAATACTCTTCGTCGATACCAGTGAAGTCTTTAGTGAAAACTAAGTCTAGACAATTCGCTCTATGTTGTTGGTCCCTTTACGTATTACGCCAGAGGGAAATCGGATGTAAGGTCCATTAGCTTATTGCTGAAGGAATTTGGCCCACCGTTGACAACCATAGTTTCTCATGCTATTGCAGCTGCGTTGGAATTCACAGCAATAAGTACCTCGTGGTGGCTAACTACGTCCATGACTTAATGAAGGAGCGCCTCATCAGCTACACGCGGAAGGTTTGGTGGTCTGCAACTCGCCAGGAATTCCAGGTTTTATGCATTACTCTTCTTTATATTTATCCAGACGGATTCATATTCAAGGGAATGGGTGTGGGCTCATTCGACTGCCGAAATTCCTGTCCTTACATATACTACTACCCCACCGCCCTGCCTATTTTGACGGTCTCTACGAAAGAGCTGGTAACCCGGTATCAAGATCTCAGTATCCACGACTTCGGTATTAAACCAAGTAGATAGATAGATAGATAGATAATTTTTATTAAAGACCCGTCGGGGTCCCATCAAACAAGTTAAAATAAATTTGCATGCGAGTTTTAGACGAGGTAGGCTGAATCTTTACAAATCTTTTCCGTTATGGCGATGACGTTGTGGATTCTTTCTGAAACTAGCGCTTTCACTTCGTCAATCTTCGAAACGAGACTTTGGGCATTAGTATACGAAAATCTTAATTGGGCAAGAGAAACTCCGGCAACTGTCAGCCCGTTTGTGCACAATCCTTCGAAATCTTCCGATCCGAGATAAGTTTAAATTTGTTTATAATTAAAATATTAAACATATTTCTGCGTTCATTTTCAACCGATTTTTATTAGCCGTCAAAAATAACATATTGATCCCTTTACACTCTCTCCAATTAAAAATGACCGATGTTAAGCTTGCTGTTGGCAAAGTAGATCTTTCGGCCATTGTGCGTTTGCAGAAGTTTAACGAGAAAAATGAGCACATTTTTACGATTCTCGACTCCCTAACAGACTAAAATACATTCAAAAACAGCTTAACTAGTTTACCATAAATAGAATCAATTACACATTTGGTTTCATCAGGAATTGCGGATAGATCAAAACGCAGACTCATTTCCATTATCCGCAATATACCCCACACGGTCAAACCAACACCACCTATTCAAAAACTTATCCATACGTGTGGTCCAAACATCCGAGTAGTTACCACCAAAACACTTCGCTCTAGAATCAAAAATAAACCCGTCTTAATAACCTTCTACTTACAGACCAAAGCTGAGCATGTCCTACAAAACCCCGAGTTAAACAGAAATCTGCGGAACCGAAACTCATTTATAGGTCCAGATTTGACACCGAAGCAAAGACGCAAACTTCGGGAAACAGACACTGGCTACAAAGACGTTTTTTCTAAAAAAAAAAAACTTTTAGATAAGGAACATCCTAATATCTCCTACTCAGGTAGATGCCAGCTAATTAACCTAAGATTTTTATGGGTTCGAAGACTAGAAGCGGGCTTCTGCCTCCTCTTTCGCATTAATCATAGTTTAATTTTCCCTCGGATTTCAGCACTCACCTCTAGTAGTCGCCCATACAATCTTCGCAATTAGTCTCTAATTATACCTTCTCCAGCGTCCTCCACCTCTAAGCGCTCCCTTTTTTTCGCTTCCAGATATACTTACCTCTGGAATAACCTTCCAATAAATATGAGATCTTCAGAAAATCTACACACAATTAAGAGAAGGCTACGTCTTTATCTGAATACTGACTCGATTAAACTTTTATTTTCCTCATCTTTCCCAGATAACTATTTCAGTGCTATTGAGAAAGGGCCACTAGGAATTTACTATGCAGCCATTAAATTTCCGTATCTGTTCACATTTACATACTTTGTGAGTGGTCTCGCTTCCTAAGATCCCTCACCAGAAATGTTAATATTTCCAATTTTTCAGTTCATACATCATGTCCTCACAAAATGCGCTCCATCGATGCTCTTGGCGAAACCT